TGCTATTTTGTCACATATTTTACGTTTATCCAAAAGTTGCATATTGCACTCTTTGATAATATATTAATCAATTTTGCAGCCTTAGATACTATTGAATACAAGACAATAGCTGTACTGGAAATACATATCTAACTGAAATCTTACACATTACTGGCATATATGTATCCAACTCATCAGATTCCAACTGCAGAGTACAAACCACCAGAAACAATGTCCCAACACACAGTTAATCAGTACAGCAAGTAAAAGCTTTAGTTCTAACAGACCTTCATAAGCTTCCCAATATGTACAGCTGTTGAAATGTTTCAGCAGGGGAGTGATGGTAAGAGGATCTTTAATATCTCGCAAGATACAACATAGTTTTCTTCCTTTAAGCCTGTGCGGTAACAGTGTCAGGAGGCGTTACCTGGTGGATTGTAGCGGTCCCCCAGCCGCCCCTCCCAGGCTCCGTCACTGTCCTCATCAGAGTCAGAGTACGACTGGACCAGCTGCAGCCCTGTGGCTCCACTGCCATGGACCAGTCTGACCTGGCCCCTGCACACACACACACACATCACTTCAACAACCAACAAATCCAGATGGAGACACATGATCAAATGAATTCTACAGTGAAGCATTTACCTCAAAGGAATTGTTGTTGAGACACTTGTGGCAGTGGGTAAAGCTAGGTTCTTAATAAGTTTAAATAATGTTTTTCCAATGCGCAGGCACACTGTAACAGATGGGGGGATCAGTGACTCGCTCCAGGGTAACGGATGGGCTGCCTATTCATTTCTACTCTCCCAGATCTTGCTACTTTCCACTTCTGACTACTCTGCTGTGTTATTACTAGAGGCCCCTATCACTGTCAAGTGCTAAAAACCTGTTTTTCTTTTCAGATGTGGTTGCTAGGAATAATCTGAACTTTCCCAGCCACTTTAACTACGTTACAATCAACCTGGAATGGGGAAGGGAAATCCCCAACCTCCACATAGCTGTGGCAGAAATGAAATGTAATGTGAGCCCTTGGTAGAGAGGTGAAAACACTGCAAGCTGTCTCTCTACGTTGTACCATTTAAAGAGTACTTAATAAACTGTCACCTCCATAGCAGTTTTAATGTGAAATGAGTGGTATCCATAATCAGCCAGTACATGTGATTCCACATCATTTATTAACCCTAATCCAAAATGGGGCCCTACTTCCTAGCAGATGGTTGACCTTTTTTTTTTTTTTTTTTAAACCAGGTTTAGTGAAGTAGGACTGTGGCAAGTGAGGGTTTTTTACCTTGATCATACAGGCTCATCGTTAATTATGAATGAATATATATGTATTGTGTATCGGATCGGTACTCGGTATTGGCTGATGTGCAAAGTCCAGCAATAAAACTGTATCAGAACATCTCTGTGCAATACACCAAACTGGACCCAGAAGTGCAAAACACACATGTGTGTTAGTGTTTGTGTTCACATCTCCCAATTCACCTCCTCAGTAGGTAAGCCAGCACTTCAGCTAAGTCTACGTCCTCTTCTGATGCCGACTGTCTGTCTCCTTGCTGCCTGTCAGCCGTCCTGCGGCCCCGGCTGCTGCTGCTGCTCTGGTTCGGTTCTGCTGTCTCTGACTGCTCAGCTGGGTTGCCACTGGAAGAGCCCCTTCCACCAGACATCCCAGAACTGGACTGAGAGCCCATAGACTGAAGAGGGCCTGGCAGGGAGAATCATTTCAGGTTAAATGACAGTGTCACCTTTCACCTGGGGGAGTTGAGGGGAACACAAGCTGCGGTGTGTGCTGACTGATAAGCAGAGAGGAAACGTAGAAACAGAAGTTAGGTAACAATGGCTGCGTTAAGTTAGCACACCAGTTTAAGTGATTATTTCAGGACATTGTACTTCCACTTCTTCACATTAACAACCTAACGTTACGTGCTCGGCAAATAAACCGACCAACGCGTCCGTGCTGTACGTGAAACTCCTCCTGACTGAGAAGCAGAGGATGGTTTTGTTGAGCTAACTAGCTGTAAATGCTAACAACTTAACGTTACCGTCGGACTGTCAAACTCTTCTCGGCTTCAGTCCAGCTCTTCGTCGGCTCGGTGTCAACTCAGCGCAGAACAACCCGCTTCTGGCACAAGAAGGAGGAGCTGTGGGGTTTGACAGCACAGTGTTTGGTTCAGTAGGCTAGCAGGGCCAGTCCGTCAGTCGCCATGTTGTTTACAAAAGTGAGAAAAAACCCTGCGCGTGCCCCTGCCCTTTCGCCGTCACGTGATCAGCACCGCCGTCGCTCGTGCCTGCTCCAGTGGCCGGATTGGACCGAAAATCAATGACAAACACACACAGGTCACAACATAGCAGCGTGTCTCACACACTCACACACACACACTCTCACACACACACATATACACATATACACATATACACACATATATATATATATATATATATATACATATATATATATATACACATATATACATATACATATATACATACAACAACACACATATACACACACACACAGTATATACACACACCACCATATACATATATATATATATATACACACACACACACACACACACAGTCAGGGTAGCACATTTAAACAACATGAACACAGTCCCTCACAAAAACGAAACTACAACCAGTGTTAAAAAGGGCTTTACAGGAATTATAAAAACAAATACACTAAGTAAAGAAAGAGTGAAGGAAACAAGGTAGAAACCAGTGAATCAGACCAAATCTAGCTTGTACAGCCAAAACACATTAGGAGCAAATTAAAAGCAACATTTCTAGGTTAAATGATTCAAATATGCCACTGAGGACCCCACATCTGTAAGCCTTTTGGTTCATGGGAAAGGTTGTTTTGTTTTGTTGCATAGCTCTCTTGTTTTGTTCAACAAACAACATCTGCCCTGCTCGTCGCTTTACTTAAGAGGTCACTGTGTTCACGAACTCATCAGACACAGTTCCTCTCACATGCCAGGCTGGATTACCAGATTACTGAGCCCTACATTCAGTGTGTGCCACTTTGTTTGTAGTCATTTAAATAATGATACCCCCCCTCGCCCCCTCGCCCCCTCACCCCCTCTGCATTATTACCTCATCCTGGCTCTGACTTTCAGTCTGTGATTGAGGGGTCACCGACTGAAATTGAAGATGATGATCGATGCATGACTGTGGTATCTCATCTTTTGTTACAAGTCTCTCACGGAGGAATTAATGCTTACATACTTTTTCTTTTGTAATTACCAGAAACAAATGGATATGCAGTAAGGCCGTATGAGGCAGTTCTGGGTCTCTCTGGAACATAATGTCAGTCTGCAGTGTGCACTTAGTTGGTATATGGAGATGATACACAATACACAGCGAGCAGGGGGAACAGGAGGTGAGGAACAGGGGGTCTTTGCCCAAAAGCCCCAGGCCCCTATAGTGGGTTAATCCAGCCCAGCTGACATGGATCTTCATGACAAAGCTCCCCTGATTGGATGCTTGAATGCTACTTCTGAAACTGTCCTCTGCCTGAACACGTAAACAAAAGCAACGATTATGGGGAAGTATTTAAAACACTTGAAGCCAGAAAAATAAACAATTATAAAAATAGTAGTTATTTTCATGTCATGGATAGAAGAAAGTTTAAAGTCCATGACCTTTCAACCTTGGTCATTTGACCCCTAATATTCCCTGGGAGCTGGAGATTGATACTATTTGTGACATCACAAAAGGGGAAGCCAATCATGGCTCAGCGTTTATATTAATTGTCAATGTGGACATTTCCAGAAAAAGGTATTTGGGGGGAAGCATTTCCAGTGGAGCTTTGGTGGAGTTGCTGTAAATATATCAGACCGTGCTGTTTTTGGACGCAAACCAAAGCCGGGCGCTTCCAGCCACTATTTGCCAAGGAATCCTGTGCTGAAACTGAAGTAGGTGGACAGCATTTAAGAAGACCTTCAAATAGCCTTCAGTGGGAATCCGGATTGGAGGCGCACATTTTAGCAACGATTGTTCCTTGAATTTCCTTCACAGGTCCATGGGCTTTGCCAAAAAAAGTTTATTCTGAAGCCCGATGCAGCGTCGTGCATTTCTCTTTTGCTTGTGTAAGTGTTTATTTTATTGTCCGAAGCTTCCAGAGACACTTTCCTCTGTGCAACTCCCTGCCTGAGGTCTGTGTGTGGCGGCTTTACACAGTGCTGTGGCTGGCTGAAGTCAACCACTCACACTGCTCAGCGACATAGAGCCACCGGACAGGATTTAAATGAGGACACTGCAGTTGCAATGGTACTTCTGTTAAGTTACTGTGTTTGGGGTGAGCTGTGGGCGTATGCTTTGGAACCCCGCAGCAGGAGCGTAAGACGTAA